CTGTCTATACATGTGGAATTTTGCAAGGAACTTCGTTTTTGCGCAATAACTGTTTTTTTTGGGTCAACTTATTTTTGAAAGTAAGCTTTAGATGACATCCTGAAAGTTTTCTTATGCATAAAGTACTAAGTAGTAGGAAGTAAACTCATTTCAGTATCACTATGGTAGTGTGACTGCAAATGTATATCACAAAGCATTACATCACATTTTCAATATTTTCCGTAATCACTCATAGCATAACGTTTTTCATCCCTGTCATGTCATTCTTAATTATGTCACTTTATAAAATAGAGAAATGACTGAATGTCCAGTGGAGCCATCCGAAAGCAATACTTGATATTCTGACAGTCTTACTGCTCTCCAAACTCTAGCTTCCACAAGTGGAACCTGCAACGGTAGTTAGGGTCTTGTCCTGCGTGTAACTTCAATGAGTAGACCTTGTTCAATATTGTGTTGCATTGTGCCTTATATCTACTTCATGATATTTGCAGCCTGTCATGGTCACCTTTATCTTTCATTCAACCTACTGAACTTGTGTCTAGCTGATCTAATATGACCGATTTTCATGATTTTTAAATAAGCCTTTCTGCGTCAATCAATAAGGATAGCTGAGAAGTCAGCAAAAGTGACTCGGAAACAAATCATGAACTGCAATAAAATTTCTTCGGTTAAGAAATGTCATTCAACTGTCCATTTTTCTGCTTACTTGTTTCATTGACTATCCGATAACTGGTTTATTTACCCCTCAACAAGTGACTAGTTTATAATCACAACAAATAGTGTCAGATTATGCTTCACCTATTTTCTAAGTGATATTATAGGTTACCAAATTGCCAAGGATTTGCGGTGATGAATATTTTATCTTAATTTGATAACAGCATAGAACTTCATGTCGTCAACGATAGCTGTCAGTTTTTCTGTGTTTGACTGATTCAATGTGTCTAGGAGTATAGGCTTACTGCTAGCCCTAGACTGTGATTATCACACAGGCAGCAAATCACAAGAAACTAACTGCGATCCCTACCATAAGAGAATAAAAATATATTTTACCTAGGTTTACGCTCCACCACTGCGTCTATTAATAGTATATTGGAACTATCAGAAAATGTCTTTTTCCTCTAAGACAGATAATAGTATCAGCTCAACTAATTAATACTAAAAGTACTGAAAATAATGTAAGGAGTAATGGTAACTGAAAGATGTCAAAATTTCACTTCTAAGCTAGAGTAAATCAGTAACATGAATTATATTGAAGCAGATACCCTGCATACTTTAAAACCGCTGAGGCGAATTCTGAGAAACCAAGGTGATATCAATCACGACAATTTGTAGAAAAACACATTTGGAGTTCCAGAGGTGAGTACTTTGAAATTATCCACACATTAGCACCAAAATGCCATATCTTCTTAAAAAATGTCATTTTTCTATGTGGTAAAGTGACACTCAGTCTCACTTTATAACACACAAATTGAAACATTATTGTTTACACTTCTTTCATTCTTTGTTTTTTCTAAACGGACTGACCTAATTGTGTATTATTTTATCCTCCTTCAAAATAGGAAGTTACTTTGACTAGCTGATGAGCAGTACACTTCTGCTGAACAATGATTTGATAATTGCCAGTTGTATCATGCACCAGTGTAGTCAGCTATGTGCTATTTTGCAGATTAACAGTTTGACATACATTAGTCAAGCATTCCTTTTGACAGAATCCCAAGCTAGTCTTCATTCATGTTTATTGAATAAAATTCAATTTTTAACAGTACAGTAGGCAACATTCTCATGATACGTCAACAAAAGAAGAATCGTACAGAGCAGCGTGTCGCAACTACAGTGTTTGGTGTTTTACCTGGAAAAGTGAATGAACTATTTGAAGACATTAGAGCAAGGCTTTAATGTGATCCACTAAACAGAGTGAATTCAGCTATAAAATCTCGATGTTTCATGACACTCACCTACTTTCCTTGTATTGCCTTAAGGTTGGTCATAAGGTATTTGGAAAGGTTATTTATTCTTGAATCTTGTTACAAAGTCTCCGTCACTAAAAACCAGCAAAACTTCAAACCAACTGATAATTCAGAAGTCACACAGGCATTCTGTTCCCTAAGTCATAAACAAAACATCTATTCGGATAAGCTAATAAGAATTATTGGAAGACGTCTTTCGAAACGTGACTCAAACAACCAACTCACAAAGATTGAATAAGTACTACAGTACTTCCCTATCATATCTGCACATTAGAATAAAGAAGACGCGTCCTTAACAGCTGAAACACCAGGATATTCTTTAAAGTAACCAGCATACTGCAATCACACCTGTCCAAATTTAAAGATTAGGTACCCCATCTGGGATAACAAGTATGTATTTGTAAGGTGGATAATGTGATGCTGCATACATTAGAGAGAAATCACGTTGGGTACAAACACAGCAAACTGAACATCGTTTCAAACAGCGGACACAATTTCTTGTGAATTTGAAAGAATTGAAAAAGGCTGTACCATCGCGATTCAAACCTCATAGCCAGGACATAAAAAATTGTTAGAAAAGGCAAAGTTCTGTAAAAAGGTTATTTTTTTCAAAATGGAACATCAGTTGCAAACCAGCTGCTTATCTGTACATATTCTTTCAGGATCAATAGAATAGGTAAACTAGATATCCGATGAGTATGGAAAACCTTAGTGATTTGCATAAAAAGGTACCAGTCAGCGCAACGAAATCAGCCAATGAAGTTACAAATTCTGACCAAAAGGAAACGCTTCGACATGTGTTGCAAAGGAAGAACCACCAGCCACTTTGGTGAGCGATGTTAGCCGATGTTGGATTGGGATGCGAAAAGTCTCTCGGTGGCTAGTCTAAGACAAGGTACCATTCGATGAAGACCCTGATTGTTGGCCTTAACCATACAGGTTGGCATCTGCTACCTGGCTGGGATAGTCAAGATAGCTGAAATTGGTGGTTGATGACCACTGGTGATATGACTGTTAATTGGTCACAATGGTGATGATGTAATCACTCTTCAATATTTTATAAATCTTGAATATCTTCAGAAACCTTGATTCTTGAATTTAGTTTCCACCATTACACCTCTTGCTTTGATGTTACTCCTCTTCTAGCCACCAGTTCTTTGCATGCTGCTGTGTAGTGTAGCAATGTGAACTGATACACACCTATGTAACGTTTTACATTGATTTCGTTTACCTGCTTGTACAAGGACAATATAGGGTAATTTAATCTTATTACACTGACTAGACAAGTGACTGTAAAGGCCACCTTAGGAACCATCAGATTAATGAATTAGGTTTACCATTTCGACTGACTCAACACTACCACATCACGCTACTCCATATGACTTATTTTTGTCATATTCAGTGGTTGATTTTAACTTACCTTTGTTTACTCATCACTCCACTGCATTTTTCAGTTCGACAATTCATCGTTCTATTTTTGTACCACGCTAGCAGCGCAACTTCGATGAACCTCTTTTATCGGTTCATTATATAAATTCACTAAGTTATATCCATTTTTGTTCTAGAGAACAACTCATAGGATGGCCAGGAAGGTATCATTCAGTAGGCAACTTGAATATTAACCCGACAAACTAATGTCACAAACTCTAAGAAAACCTCGCCGTAACCAGATAGAATAGATGACGAATAACACAAAGAATATTTATTAATTTGTTTTTCATTCGTTCTAATACACTACAATGAGATAATATAAGTAGGTCAAACTATATACAATTAATGTTGTCGTTCCTTGACGATACATTCTAGACATAAATCTAAGTGGCATGAGAATGAGAGTTCTATTCTACAATGAAGCATCGCTTCGTTCCTCTAATTACTAATGGTAGATAATCAACCTTTTTTTATAGGTTTCTGAGGAAGTATGGTAGTAAATCCTGTTTCTTTAAGAGCATTCACTTTTCGCTAGTTTCTTGTTCAAATTTCTACTTATGTACGAAACTGACTCATGCGTCCTAGAAAGAGTTAGCTTCTTCGGAACCATAGCCATTCATTAACGAACTTTAATTACTGAAAAGCTCTGGTCAGTGAACTAACGACCCTCAATTACAAACTAGTTTAGTTATTCGGTCAAAGAGATTACTTCAGTTATAAGTTTAATTATGCAGTGTTACAGATTTACGCTATTTGCCTGAAAATTAAAAAGAAAACGAAAAAGTAGCTTAGTCAAGAAATGTGCTTGCAAACTTTCTTTTACCTTAAATTCAACCACCACAAATGAAAGAATCATTCCATCACTGCCAGCCCGTCAGCAAAACTAGTAATTTAACTTTAACTGCAAAAATGTACTTCCAAATAGTTCAGGAGATCTTTCATTAAGAAGAATTTTTAACGGTGAAATAAAATGTTCAGAGTATAGATTCGTGCAACAACAACAACACCAACATCATGAAAGTGACACTTGCTCCAAACGAACTTCGAAAGTGCCTGCCGGCTCCACTTAATAACATTGAATTTTATAACTTCAAGTAAACCAAAATGAAATCTATATTATGTCAAAGAATTTCATAAACGAAGTTGAGAATCAGCTCGCAAAGAACGCATTTTCCAAGCAAATGAGCACTAACAAATGGAATCAGTGATGAAGCTTAAAAGAGGAGTGTACGACTATGTCCATCAAACATTCCTAAGTATTAATAAAAAGTTGAAATGATTCATGCTTACAGATAAAACAAATAGACGCTATCAGGTGTGCACGGCAGCGTTGAATTCTGAAACCAACTTTTAAATACGTTATCGCGGGAAGAAGAGATAACTTATTTCCATACACATTTTCAGAAATCTTATTAATTCCACAGTAATTTTCTGAATACATTTTTAAACAATGAGTAAAGGTGAATGATAATACATTATAAGAAAAGGGACTGAAGCAACTGTTACCAGGTTTAACTGGTCATTACTAAAGTGCTAAAATGTTTTCCACTCTGATTACGCAAATAAAAGTAACGTGGGATAATTGAAGTTTGTGGGATGAGTTTATACACAAAGAGGAAATATTTTATGAAAAATACAGTGTAAAAATATCAAACTGTGTAAGTTGATGCTGGAAAATGAAATCCTTTTACTTGGAGATTTGCCTTTATTTCGCCCGAAGGAATCATTCTCGCTAGTACTTGCCGCACTGGAACCTAGAAATTACCAGAAACCGAAAACCGAAATCAGTAGTTAATTCATCTCATCTCATTTCGACAATTGTTCATCTACTTTGATAAAGACTAGAGTTGTTGAATCGTAGTGATTACCAGGACGAAGGATAAGTTTTAATCTCAGTCATGGTAAAGTTAGAACTGTAAAACAATGGCTGGATTTTGAGGTGCAACCCGTAATCCCTTAATAAACTATTTTTCGACATATCAAGTGGTAGAATTAGTGTAGCAGGTTTAGCAGTTAGTAGATAGGAGCTATTTCAGCTGTTCCTTGCGAGTATAGAGAAAATATCCTAAATATTGGGGAGATTTTGTGGCTTTTCGGGTCTGATAATCAACAATCTGCATACCTGCCTGAAGCTCATTTTGAACATGTCAGGAAACAGATTGTCGAGACTTCTGCACATTCCCATCCAGCACTGAATTCTTGTTCATGATTACCAATTAACCACAACCAGCCTGATGAAAATGAGGCTCATATGACACTCCACCGAACGAACCATCAAAAGTACAAAAAATAGAAATTTTTTAAGGCAACTTTTATGAAGATCAGGGGAAACTACGTTGAAGAAGTGTTAACGTTTCAAGTTTTGTTGAAGTTAGGCGCAATGAGCCAGTATCGTTGAAACTGTTTATCATTTGTATTCATCCACACGGATATACCTTCAAATATCAAAAATATCTCTCAGTGACATGGTTTGATAGCTGTATAAAAATTCCATAATAGGTTGTTTGCTTAATGTTGTTCATAGGGATGCAGCATAATTTAGTGGATGACATTTCGAGCAGGACTTATTACTCATATTCACTGTTTCCAATGCCAAAAATAAACAATCGTATATGGAGTTACAACCTACCATAGTGCCTTAGTCTTACCCTTACATTAGTAAACCTTTTAATAACCCTACATGATTGACTACTGATGAACAGTCGATCTATCCCATAAAGGATAACTACTGCGTCCCGAACAGCTCGGCGGTAAAACTGCTGTCTTCAACAGTGGGTGCAGCGGGTGAAAATCAACGTGGAGAACTTAATTCCTTCAAGGCAACAGAGACTTCTTGCAGATGAGTGCCAACAATCGAGAAACTGAGGTCAAAATTAGCTTTCTATCAGTTGTCTTCAACCAACTAAGATCAAGTCTTTCTCAAATAGTTTGTGTTATAATCACTCGTTCACTCTGTGGTAGACACTAAACTCCTATACCATAACCATCACCACCAGTTCTTGTTTTACAAAAAGATGACCATGTAATTCAGTTGACTTGAGATTCAACACATATGAATAGAATGTAGAAACGACCACGTTCTAAACTGACTGTATCTTTCACTTTGAAAGAATGATACAGAAGTGCTGAAAGGTCCAAAGTTTATCTTATGTACCTTCTTCTGTTTCTACAATCAAATCATCATTCTTTTTGTCTTCCTTTGTGACAAATTTTACTTCCTACCGAAGGTTTCTTGTTGATTAGTTTAGTCATTATGAATAAACCACAACTGTCATGACTAGATTCGCACAGTTGCTTACCTTATCTTTGTAGCAAGTTTATAAAATCTGACAGTCAGCCAGTGTTCGTTTTTATCTTTCATGTCGGTTCATCCTTGTTCTCCCTATTCTTAAATAATAAGGGGCTGACTGCTTTAAAACCATATACGAAAATATGCAAGAAATGACTTTGGAATCATTTCTGATAATGATCAATCAGTGAGTCAACCTGAATGGTGTTCCTGGCCATTTCGAATATTATCTATATGTCTAGTCTTTAAATAGGATTAGGGTATCCACTTTCCAGATCGACTCAGTCAATCAAAGACAGTCACAGTGATTACACCGAATACATACAATATATAACAGTCCGATAGAAATGAACATTAGATAATGATGATCAATACTGTTAATTGCTTGGAAATCACACACCTGTCAGTTGTAAGTTGACTGAACTTTCTTCGATAGATTCCACCTGTGTACCGGGTATTTTTCGACAAGTCCATATCCCTGAATTGTGCGTTGTCAACTGGCCAATGTTCAATCTGCTTGCAAGGGTTGTTTGATCAATCCACTTCCTTTGTACATCCGTGTACAATTCCTTCATTTTTAGATTATTATCAATAATTGACATTTTCGGATTCTCATAAATTGTACTGTCCATTTTAGGATATATCCTGTTACCATTGTGATACCAGTGAATGGAGGACATTGATGTTGGGTGACTAAATTGAACTATACACGTCAGAGAAGGAAACTGACCAGGATAACTAAAAATGTGGACACCTTGGCAAAAGATGATAAAACAATAGCTTCCTTAGTCATTTCTGCAACATTATCTTGAGTACTAATAACGGTATAAAACAAAACATAAGAGGTTTCGTAAATGATGTGTATCCAAAATTAACTTGAATCTGTAAAATAAAGTAATTCAATCAATTGGTTGTGTAAACTTCATTTTCGCAGTCTATTTACGTTTGCATTTGTTTCTTTGGACTATTTCACATCAACGTTTATTTTAGCATATCGTAGTTATTAAGGATGTTCAGTTCATCAACTTTAAACCAATTTAGCTATTAGAAGTAATATGATTAACGGCTATCAAAGATTCTAAGTCTAGTCGGGGTATAAGAGGAGTGAAACAATAAACAAAAGTATTTTATATCTTACTGGCATAAAACTTATGTGTCATGTATGAACCAGTGAGCTCTTCATAATGCATCTTTAATCATCTATATTTCAAGCTAACTTCGACGTGAAATAGTAAAACATTTGCTCATTAGAATGGACAACAAGTGTGTATCAAGAAGCTTACCTTCTGATTTACATTCCACACTGAACATTCATAATATTTCAAGTCAATAATACTAGTAAGAACTCTGTGTTCAATCGCTTTAGAGATTATCAAAAGATGTTCTCCTAGACACCTTCATACACTGTTATCCTTTATGGATTTCTAGTTACTCCGTTTGTGATAAAAAATATTCTGAAATCCTCTTGCTGTGTATCACCGAGTGATGACTGGTCTCATCTTCGGAATTCACTAACTGACCTCCGAATTGTCAACGACAGAGTCTTTTTACAAGTGAATACTGACAGAATGCAGAAACTTCGAGTCCTGATCTCAAACTGTTTGAGATACTTTCTTCAGTCCTTCAGATAGATGCTGTTTCTTTAAGATTATTTCCTCCAAGACATGGCTTATGGTGTTTATCATCTCTATAGCGTTGGGAACTGCATTACGACATGTGATTTGATGAATTATAAGTTCCCCATACTAATACAAAAGACTGAAATGGATTCACCTAACTTGTAGCAATGAATAGATTTCCCAACTCGTTTGATAGAACGACAGTATTCTGCAGTCACCCACCCAGCCAAGCTAGTTCACCTGTAAAATAAGTATTCAAAAGCACAGAATTTCGGAAACAATCATACTTATTATTTGTCTGCTTTGTTTTTATGGTGTACAACAAGAAGGCTGGAAGACAATATGCTGAGTATAGAGCATCAGTTTAAGTAGGTATGTAAGTTGATCAGGTAGTGTAACATTGGTGACTGAGGTAACAAGGGCGTGGACTATGCTTACCAGTCAACCATGCAACTCATGCAAATATGATGATTTTCGTGGAATGGGTTATATTTAACCTAAAAGTGACAAAATATCCCGTTTTATATGTAGTCTCTTACTTTCTGATATGACTTACAATTGATCCTATCGCACAGATACGTTCTCCCATACACTCATTGAAACACTCGTAGCATACATTTGTCTTCACTTATTTTCCCTTTTTATTTCCATCTCATGACTTTATATGAACACCAGTGGTACATTGGTTTTCAATTCTTCTTCACATTAACGTCTGGTTTGTTGTTCTGTCATTTGTTTATACCGGATCTTAAGTAAGCAATGTTCACCTTATCATTCATTCTCTATTTTTTATTTGTGTTCGAAATCTAAGCATACATAAACTTGGCTGTTTCAGCTCCTGCAATTGACGAATATCAAAGGTTGGACGACGTAAGGACAACAAACAATCCAGACATATATTCACTTCCAGGAATTTTGACTATTTGTGAATGATCGAAATTAACAAGAATTTACCTTTGACAATCAAACCATCAAGTCGTTATGAAACAATCTGAACAAAAGGGGTTATTATGATTAGTAACTCGACTTCGACATCAATATCCTGCTTTTCATTTTCAAACTAACTGATTTTTAGTCTAGTCATTGCTTGTTGATTTCGACTACAGTTTCATCTTCCGTTCAATCAGACTTACCTTTATATACTTCCCTCTTATTCTGGACAAATCAGGGTAAATCTCTTTGTTCATTCATCACACAACTAATGCAATGAAAAACGTTATGAAAACGCTTTTCAATTCCACTTCTCAGTTCACACAGACTGTAACAGCTTAAATACGTCTAGCGTTCTTGCGTGTGTGCGTGCATGTAGTAAAATAGGTGGTCTTCTTTCTGCAAGTATTCTCATTCATGACACTCTAATGATTTATTTAGATGTCAGTCAACTGGGTTTCAATTTAGAATTAACTTTATTTTAAAATACACTTGTATTCCCCCGTCACTCAGTATTCTTATCAGTGGTATAATTGTTTTTTGAATACGTATTATTCCTAAGGTTGTTAATGGATACCAGAGAACCCACTTAGTTGATTGATTTATTTCAGTACTTTCACCTGAATCAAATTTATCCTTTGTTTGATGTATTCATTAGATTCAATGCAATATTATTTGTTACTAGTACCAGGAGAATGATAATTCGTTTGTTTTATCAGTCAGTGTGCACCAAAGGAACTCACAGAATGTAGTAAGTTGGCAGGCTGTGTACATTTTTAGTGTCGTGCGTGTTCAGGAGTCGTTTCAGTGACATATAATTCAACGGTAAAGCAAAGTGTAATAACAGGAATGATAATTTTACTTTGGGTTATTGGTAGTAACGACAAGTGAATGTTTACCAAAATGACTGACTGTCTCCCACCTTACTGTCTGAAGGAATGTAATAATTCTGTTGCATTCATTCGATCCAAAGATGTTAGTAACAGTAACACTGATCAATAGATATGAAGTAAGTTTCACATCAAAAATATTCAAACCAACATGAAGTTTAAGATACCATACCAGCATAACAACGACATTTAAATTTTTGAGGTAGGTCTGCAACATTATTCAAGGAAAAGATTGCTTGGATCGAAAATCACTACAATTAGTACAAAAGAATTCCCATCGAGTCATAAAAGAGAACAGACTACAGTGAACAAGTCGGTTTCGAGGGACACCATCCTTGGAGCCGCGCAACTGCATTTGAGTATAATTGGTGTGTTTGTTTATTTGCTGAACAATATCACTATTTGCGGATTAATAGCTCTTAATAGATTGTGGTCAGGAAAGTAATAAGGAAGTGGAAAAAAGTGAGAATACTTGACAACGTGGATAAGTTAGTGTGAGTTTTTTACTTAGTGACTAAAAGGCAGCCAATAGGGGAGTTGTTTTCAAGTGATGATAAGATCATGTTCATGTCACGATTATGCTTGTGCTGACATGAGAGGCTGATTGGAGAAATTCGACCTCATACAATAAATCTGATTAGTTCATTTATGGCTTCACTTTCTGAGAGTTTTGTAAATACATATATGTCATGTGTTTGCCTAATAAAAGTTGTCGCTGTTCTTGCAGTCACAGGTCGTCTTTGTCTTCTGATTTTTCCGCAGCTCAGTGAAGCATAAGGTACTGAGGGAGTTCAGTCGTAAAAGTATTCGATTGAGGTGTCTATTGATTCTCAGTATTCATCATACCCACGCAAGCAACCCTACTACTCGGTCACAACAGAGTTGAAATCGAAAACTGAAGAACTCGTAACAGCATGAGTAGACGACTGTCAGTGAGCGAGGTATGTAGAAATCAATAACTGAGCTAAAAGCATTCACAAAATGAAAATCAGAAATTTATAGTTTGGCTTTGGAATTGAGAAGTGTAAGAATTAGGTGCAAATAAGGATAAGGAATGACAAAATTACCTCTGGATACACAATTTCGCTTGCAGTGTTTGCACTTATAAAACCGAAACTAGGAAACGTTGGACTTTCTTCACATTCTACAGAAGATTCCATCGTACTTAGTCGACTACAGAAACAAACCTTCCAACACTGCAAGTCCGCTGTCAATCAGATGTCGTGTTGTAAGGCTACAGACTGATCAGCGTTGACCTTTACTGGGTTATACTGTAGAATCCTGACGTCAGCTTTGAACTAACTGTCTCTGCATACTGCTAATCCTGCAAATTTACCCTTTTTCTTGTCCAGTTTAAATCTGCCATGGGAGTCAAACACATCTAATGTTGCATTATTGCTGATTTCCAGTGAGTCAAAGCCTTTTGACATTTACCACATTGAGAAGTACGTGCACCTATTTTGGATCGTGAAATTAAACAAAGATAGAACGCTAACTTGAATTCTCGTGTCGTAGTTAACCATAAAACACGAACGCACACCTAAATCTTAATCGTCTGGCGTTATATCTGTTAAGACGCCATATTCGAGAAACCCGTCCTTGAAATTTTAGCGTGTAGAAAATGACAATCTAAGCAATTTGCAGGATTCTTATCAATTTTGCGAAGAGAGGTACGTATGCGATCACTGCCATATGCTTCATGCCTGAGAGGTTGGGTGCGTAGATCACAGCAGCGGATCAGGTTCAGCAGAGATATGGTAGCATGAAAACTTGAAAGTAAATGGAAGGATACACATTACTGAGATACGTGCTCTAGCGAAAATGTTGGCTATCACTACGCAACACTTATTTGTAAAATTGTCACTGAATGGTTCTTTTTCAACGTTTCTTTTAAAATTTTGCAAGTTTACAACCTATTGAACAAGTAATCTTTTTCAAATCAGATAGTAAGTAGGGTTGTAACGCAAAAGTGATTGACATCATTTGAAAAGCTATCGAGAAGAGGGAATTTTTTCGTATATATCCTTGCTCAGTTTCACTTCACTGATCTACACACAACACTAATGAAATATGTGATTTCACCAGCAATCTACCATTCTTCTGGTGTATTGGATTTCTCTACCTCACAAAACTTCAGATCTCAATCAGTTAGTAAACTTTCACAACATTTTTGAATACCTATCATAATTCTCAAGATAAATGTGTTAAGACATTTAACTCATCTGTCTTGCACTTTGTTCATCAACAGAAGACTTTTAGTTAAACACTTCTATACATTCAAATTGATTTTTTCACAGTGCATTTCTGCTCATAGACATATAACATAACATAGAAAAAGGACAAAGCTACAACAGAAATATAAAAATGCTCACTTTTTCTTTTACTTGATGCTCTCCAAAGCGTATTCGCAACTGTATCATCTTTCACATATTCATCATTCAGTTTAGTCGCATCCGGTTCAGTTTCCTGAGCTAAGTTTTGTCCAAATTCATACATGGTAAGTTATGAGTAGCCATTAACATTTTTACAAGAAAATTGATGTGATTCGTATTCGTGCATAAATTAAAGCGAAACAGACAAGAGAAAGGGAGCACAACTATAAATTGAAGTGATTTCTGCAGATTATAACCGAAATGATACTGTTAAACAAAATGTCAAGATGAGAAGCCGAAGCAACCATTGAGTTGATTAAGCTATGCAATAAAAGATAAAATTAGAAAAGGCTTTTTTTTCATCATTCTCATTATTTTCAACATGACAGTTTGTTCGGAAATGCATGAGATCCGCTGAAGTTAGTTAGAAAGTATTTTTCATTGTAAAATGTATAGGAGTCTAGGATACTGTTTTGAACTGACCACCCCACTGTTCTTTTTTAAGTCTCGATTGACAAAGACTATCCAGCAACAAAAATTATCTTTCCAGTAGGATTCAAGATACTCACATTCATTGTTAAAGTCCCTTAAAATTTTCAGTTTGTTACTAACTTACGCAAGTTTGACAGCTTAATGAAGGAACTTATCCCAGGTACTCTTCAACGAAATAGTGTGGCATTTTCGAAAATCTGTATCGACAAACATGAGTAATCTAAATCCTAACAGAAGGACAATTTTCTTATCTGCTTCGTCTTTTTTCCATTACTCAAATTATGTAAACTAGCGGCATATGGTTTCCAAAATTTCGAATATATTACGGTTTCAAGACTTCTCAGCTGTCGTGAACTGCACTTCAGTAGCATTCATTCAAACTCATGTCTAACTGAATCATCATGTTCTTCTTTCGATAGAGTAACCATTTTCTAGGTCCATCTAGTGTGATATGATTCTGACCACTGACATCTGGCCGAGAAATATATCAGTTTGTCTACCTGTGAAACTAAATAGTATATTAACAATGCGGAAACTAGACTACTGAATTAGAATATAGACATATTCCTTCTTCAAACTCTTTTGTGGCCAATATTTTTCTCAGGTTCGGCCTGACTTAGCGACGACGTCACAGGTTGCAGCAGCTAGTCACCCTAAAACCATTTAGTCTACTGTTAATTATTTATGTATGAAACATCAGTTGATGAAATCGTACACGTCAGAGCTGGAGAACTGTTGTGTTGTTATAAATTGCCATACAGTAAAAAACATACGTTTTTTCCATCATCCATAAAATAACCATCTTCATACACAAAGTCATCCAATCTATATCTATCGTATCGTTTGCATATCCTCTATTCAGGATTAACAACGAACTTTATTCACACACTGATGTGTACATTTATTTTGATCCAGTTCACTTTTAGAATTCTGATACCTTAAATATCATTTAGTTGGTAGCTATTGCAAGTACGAAAATCTAGCTACATGTAACCAATTTTAATGCGGACCAGGTACCCATAATATATTCCGATAATATGAGTTATGAGATCTCATCAATCAACGTCAAACAGCTTCAAGTGTATCGAAATTATTCATATCTCAGAATTCCTTGAAACATTTTCCCCAATAAGTTCATCATACCAATAATTCCTCCTCAAAACCAATTTCAAAACCTTTTCACTGACCATTAGGGTTGAAAAATGTATGTTTCACCAGACTATGCCCAAGTGATAAGTGTTGACACTTCTTATTATCATCAACATCATTTATACCATCTCAACCTAACAATATTTGGTGTTTGTCACATTTTTCACTTTACACATAGAATTCGCATGGAACTTATTACATCAAGTACTAGATGTCATCCATAGGAACCCAAACGCTAACAATTTAGTTTAAGATTGACATATTCACACACAATTTAGTCGGGCAGGATGTACTGGATCAATTCCTCCTTTCAGTGTTCATGCGCGTGGTATGCATCAAAAAATAAGTTAATATATGAGAAGCTGTGCTTAAGATTAGGAACAGATAAGTGTTAATCTTAACAGATTGACAGAACCAAGCCAAATTGCACAATTGAGCGACAAAACTTACCAATAACTTTGAGGTAGAAGAATTTTTCCTTAATGATGGCCAAATTAATTTGACAAATATAAGTTCCACTATCAGCTTCCGTAACATGAAATATCATCAATGTCCAAGAGTTAGGGTTCGAACGTCGATTTCATAACGTGGAAGAGATATTTCATTTCCCACCGTCAATGGCATTGGCAAGTCTTCTTTCCACCATGACATCTTTAGTATGAAAAAGTATTGAATACAGACACATGTGTTATTGAGGGTAAAAATAAACCTTCAAAAACATATGCAGACAAAAAGCTCATCCTGTGGTTTCTTTTCAGTATCCAAATACGAATTGTTGACAAGTCTGACAATCGTTCACTTAATTTCTGGACAACTTAAGGATTCCAGTTGTGTAACGTATCTTCAGTATTCCCCTAAATCTATCACGACAGATAAGTCTGAAAATTAGATAACTGCTTTTATTATCGCATCTCAACATATCAACATCAAAAGGATTTATTCATAATTGTTATTTCCCAATTGAACGATTAACATAAAAGAATCTGTTTGTTTATTTTTCATAGCAACCCACATCACATCTGACTTAAATTCTGTTCTTCCCCACCTGAGAATGAAGGTTTCAGTTGTGAGTTTCCCTTTAGTAGCTAACCATCCATTTATGAACAATTGCATACCTTCTTCATCATGCCCATCACCACTAAGAGCATGCACTGGTTCTTTCACTTTCACAAACTTTTGTTGCTGATTTAATCTAAGCAATGTATTTCAGAATTCTTTGGTACTAATAATATTTTAATTTTGATGCTATTGATGTGTGTAGGATTAGAGTTTAAGAGGGAATCATCACATTTACGAAGGTATATTCAAATGACAAGTCGTAAATAGAACGGAATTCATGTCCTGCATTTCACAGCTAGCTACCATTTATGAAGACATCAACTGCATTTTTTGCTGTACCATAAACCCGTGAACATCAGTTGATTGAGTATGTACAGCTCATCACTATAAAATAATAGTTAGCAAATGCGAACAAGCAAACGGTTCTAAGCAGGGAGAAACACAAATGAGCAGCGGTTATGCACTACGACTAATGTGTCTTCATACTCTGATTTTTCCTCAGGTTTTTCGTTCCGCAGGTGTCTCATAATTTCCTGTTTTGCTCTTACAAGTGTAATTACTTATTCCGATGGCGAACCGACCAAAGCATACGTCAGAAGACATTTTAACAATTAGTAAATTCAATGTTTTTCGTAACTGACATGGTGCTTTCTAAAGCGCAGGTCAGTTTAGTCAACTCAACACCTCGAATACTCGGGTCACTCATAAACATTTATCTAGAAACGTAAGGTCTGCCTCAGTCATCAGAATTTCTAAGCATCGCAGGAAGAGTAAAGGCATACAAAACTTCGAGAAACAAAAGGATCTTGGCATTGAAATTTCATTACTTACTATGAATATAATTCTAATGTAGGCATAAACTTCACAATAGTACTTTCAGATGATCTAGAGTTGGATATGCTGAGATCGTCAACAAGTCAAACAATTCATCTTCAATTACTTTAGTAAAATCTATCAAGGGTTGCTCTAAAGTCATGACCACTACGTATATCTGATATTTTCTTCATCTTTATTAGTGACCAATGTCCATCGTATCCCCTTATCAGATTCCTGAAATTATTCTATTTTGAGCCATTTGTTCACACGTTCATCGGTCCATGTGACTCACATTACGACCACACTGTCTCTTCAGCATGTCTACACACATTTTCCAATTTAAGCTTAATATGAGATATGAAGCAATTGTGAGTTGTTTGTCATTTAGGCATTTTCGAAATATAGATAGTGTGATCAGAGGATGTAGTTTGTTTGAATAATGTGATGTATTTGTGAAAAACATTTGCAACAATCTGACCACATATTTACTTGTCAAGTTAATTTGCATTATACAGAAGAGTAAGACGACTAACAGAACAACAGAGGAAACAGTGATAATATACTGAGCATCGTATACGTCATATAAAAATACTGCCACATGGCTAGATTCAGAAATATGAGAAAATGAAAATTAACATGTTAGCTTTTTAAGCAAAAGTAACTGAATTTTATCTCTCAAATATTCAAGGCTTGGTCAAAGACGAATGAAATGTAAGCCATATTATGGATTAATTTCATTCGCAATTTCACTGGTTTCGGAGAGTTGGTATTCATTGTTCAATCTGGATTCGGATAAAAGAAATAGCTTGAAAGGTAGTGCGTTACATTTCTAAATTACGCCTACCAATATTTCAACAACACGTATTTGAGTGTAAAGTATTTTTTTGTCTGCGAATTTCTAATGCCACTGATGACAACGAGTAGATATGAATTTATGATATGTACACAGATTTCCAGGTCTAGACAAAGTTGAATCACACAAAAGGAAATTGTTTGTGCATGCCATTTTAACTGTATCAGCACTTTTAAGATTGTCCGACACAAATATTTGTTTCGCTCAAACTGCATCAAATCAGTAACTCAGTTATGGACACTATGACTTCAGGTCAACTTCAAACTATTTGACTCTAAATATACTTTTTTGACTGCATTACTTCAAGAACTTCACCATCTTGTTTCCCCGAAGAAATGGATATGTGATCAACATGGTGGCTAGTTCCTTACCAGGTGCACATATCAAACAATTCAGACACGGATTATCTGCCTCGAAGGATAAATGAGTCTTTGAGGCTGCTTAGTGTAATCGACAAACTTGACGTCAATGGTCGTAAAACAAAATCTCTCATAACCTCGCCTGGTTAACTAGTTCACTAGTTACTAGCCGGTCCTAAGCCCGGGTAAAGAGGGAAGGTTGGGCATAGGGCTAGCAACCCTACCCCGTAAAACAAATCTAACCGCTAAACAAACTTCAAAGCACAAACAAAATATAAAAATAATAACAAAATTATTCCTCGCTGGAATCGGAGAGGCGAAATGATGCCAGTTGGTGAAAGCAGTCTGGAAGCTAATTGGCAGATGTGTCTTCTCTCGATGAAAGCAAAAGTAAACGTGGGGACATGGAATGTCTGCACCATGTTTGAACCCAACAAGGCAGCCTAGATTGCAAAGGAGATGAGATCAGCGAAGAGGGGACTTCAGGTGAATATAAAGAAGATAGAGGTAATGAAGATACCCAACCAATAACAACAACAAACTCCAATCACCATCAACGGGAGAAACTTAAAGGAAGTAGCCTCTTTCACCTATCTAGGAAGCACTGTTTTAACTACAGGCGGCACAGACGAGGATGTCAAAGTAAGAATCGGAAAAGCAAGACAGGTGTTCATTAGCCTGAAACCAGTGTGGAGATCTTCTGCACTCAGCATGTAAAACAAGATTCGGATTTTCAACACCAACGTCAAGTCTGTGCTTCTGTATGGTTGAGAGACTTGACGATTTACGAAAGGGATTTCCAACAAACTACAGACATTCACAAACAACTGCCTACGCTGCCTTGTTACTGAAGATTAGATGGCCAAAATAACAAGAATAAGCAACAAGAAACGCTGGCAACCAACCAACCAGGAACCCATGGCCCAACAAATATGTAGAAGGAAGTGGAGATGGATTGGGCATACACTGATCAGGCCGATTAGTGACATCACGCGTCAGGCCAGACCTTTGAGTGGAACCTCGATGGAAAGCGATGAGTTGGGCACCCCAGGTGAAGATGACATGGAGGGGATCGTGTGAGGAGAAAATTAGAGCTTGTGGGATGTTGTGGAGCTACGTTTAAAAGATTTCCCTAACCCAAGGGACAAATAAAAATAAATAAAAAATCTCTCATCCCAGAAACAAACGACACAAGTACGAAGATGAGAATCAACATCAGTTTCCACAAGTTTTCAAACTTGTTTATTGTTATAAGCGTAAACGAGGTCTAGCACACCTTCCTAACGACTGCTTTCAAACATCTAATAACAAAGTTCATCTCTCAGATGGCGTGGGAAATTTTCGTGGTTATCAAATCTCAGTTTTCCAAGAAACACTGCTTTATCAGACTTCGGACACGGCTGGTTCTTCATATTGCTGCACTGCTACATTACTGGCAGCTGTCATAAAACAAGTATCCTGTAATCCTATTTCTAATAAGTTCTGCTATGGTTATAGTTGAACGGTGCCTAAGTATCTGGGAGATTATGCCATCACCAAACACCAGTTCTCTGTGACTCTGAACATCTTAAATGTAATTATATCCAAATGATTAGTTTTGAAGCTAAGACTTCAACAATTGTTTTGAAAGCGCTGTCGATGAAATGGATGTTTTTATGTTAAATTTCAGTTACACGACAAATAATGAAAACTTAAAAAAACGCAGTTAGACACTCATTGGAATCATCAGTGATGAAGTATTCAACATCAAACATGGGAAACAGCTGTTTAGTATTAAAAAAATCACAAATTTTTATGTCTAAAAAAGACACATCAATGAAACTTTTGCCATCTGTGATAACGATCCTTCCAAAGTTTGTGTTTCCACTAGTTCAATAATTGCGAAGCAGCCTTGGAATTGACCTAGAAAAAAGAATCTGGTACAAGAACATCATGTCTAGAATGCTCTGGCTTCCAAAAACCTTCGCATCACGGATCGATATACGCTATAGAATTACTGAAATTCTGGGAGGTAAACTAACTGCTTTCTACTAGTGTAGAACTTCTTGGTAGAAGGTAACAGTTGAAATATCAGAATTTCAATCCATGGGTATCTGTTTTATTGATGAGCATATTCATTCTCAGACTTTTGATCCCAATCCACTAATTCACGTCTCACAATTTCTATTGATTCCCAAAATGGTGCGAACAACATCCAGTATCACCTATGAACCTAATATTTTACTTTTGAATTCTTTATCAGTGGTGTAAACGGTAACATGCTAGCACAGAGAGCTGAAAGTCACTAGCCTAATCCACCAAAAAGCCTTGAGTTTAAATGTCTAACAATTCCTCAACTAATACAAAACAGCTGTCGAGCGCTTTCACATTTATGTAGTTCTTTCAGTTGACGTCTCTGTGTAATTTGCGATAATAAGTTCAGCAAGTTCGTTTGATCTTTAGTGACGAAAGATTTGCTTGCTCATTGTTTCAGCTGTATCGTACACCGTATGTAGTCCATCAATGGTTTGATGTGTTTCTCAAATCCTTTTCCTTTTCCGAATCTTCCACTTAACCTACTGATA